GCTAGCCAGGAAAGTGCTGTAAGCTGTTATTAACGGGCATCTCTCGGGTGCCGCAGTGCCTTAGCTGTCCTGGAAAGGTACACGAAACCCCTCCAGGTACCAGCAGGAGGGTTGCTGAGACCCAACGTGTCAGCTGATGTTTGCCTAGAGGGGATAAACCATGGCAGGGAAGCGGGTGTGGCACGGTGAGACTGTTCACCCCATTATTTCTGAAACTGAGTCCCTACAATACCTTTATACAAGGTCATATTTGGTTGGGATCCCCCTGCCATTGTGTTTTAAGTGCCAGTTCTTGCAAGGTATGGCAATAGACCTAGTTCATGTTTTGCTCATACACATGTCCACTCACACCGAGAGACCCCTCCTGTGATACACCCTGACGCGCACACACCTGAGATGCCTCCTCTCGCACTAGGGATGTACGCGACTGGTCAACCACCCGATAAGCCTGGGCAACTCTTGTAGCTTCCAAAGGGAGAGGCGCAACAGCAGGGGACCCACGCCAGCCGGACCGTTTGGTCCCCACTCGCAGGGGTTCCCTGCTGTGCCTCTTCCTTTGAAATGTACAAGCGCCGTGGTGGTGCTTGTACATTTCAAAGGCAAAGGCACAGCAGAGCAGAGCACTCCCCTCATTCCCTTATGTACATACTGGTCTGTGAGGACACGGACATTATAGGAGCCGCAGAAAATGTTTCTCTCCTCCAGCTGGACAGTTTCAGTCATCTGGCCACGGTAAGCTGCCTGAAGGTTGTCCTCCTCCTACGGCCAGAAAGAAAGGAAATAGGAATAAATAACTCTGTTGGGAAGAGATGGCCTCTCGCTCTTCCTCCTCAGTTATACTAAAGAGCCTTAAGGATGATGGGGGACTGACCCCAGAGAATCTGCCCTATACACCAGCCTATCCCCTGCCAGAGGGCACTTTGGGGGCAGAGCAGGGGTGTTCCCTGGGGTAAACTGCAGTAGGGTTCTTCTCAGAACGTGTTATGGACAAGTCGGAGTATCAGAAGGTGGAAAAAGTAACCGGGGTGGGGGGGCTATTTTAGATTTGATTCTGACTGGAAGGAACTGGTTGAGCATCTCAAGGGGGAAGACAGCGGAGAGAAATAGATCACGAAATGACACAGTTCGTGGTTATAAGCTAAGGAAGGAGTGACATTGGGGAAAAACCCAGACATTGACCAGCAGGGAACTGGTAGCTCTGGTCCTATGGAAAAGAAATGAAATGAAAAAGGAGTTCAGGAGACCTGGCTCTATCTATATAAATGTTACAGCACAACAGCAACCTGTCCCCATGCAGAGGGAAGACAGGAAGAATAGGAAGAGACCAACATGGCTTCATGTGGAGCTCTTCAATGGCCCGAAACACAAAAAGGAGTCATACAGAAAGTAAAAGCTCAGACAAATTGCTATGGATGAGTATAAAAGAAGAGCACAAACCATAGGGACAAAATCAGAGAGACTAAGGAGCAAAATGAATTACAACCAGTAAGCGATGTACATGGCTCAGGGCCAAGGGAGGGGTCACAGAGGACTGGAGAAGGGAAATCATGGTATTTATCTTTGAAAAGGGGGGGAAGGGAAAGCCCGGGAATTCTAGTCCAGTCACCCTAACTTTGATACCCAGAAAGCCCTGGGAGCAAAGTGTTAAACAACAAATGCGTAAGCACCGAGGGAAGAATAAGGTGATAAGTAAGAGACAACACAGATTTGTCAAGAGCAAATCATCCCAAAACAGTCTGATCTCCTTCGGCAGGATGACAGGCCTAGCATGGGCGAGGGGAAGCAGTAGACACGAGACTGTCTGATTTTATTAACTCACGTGACATTCTCATTAGTGGTCTAGGGAAAAGTGGGCAGATGAGATTTCTGTAAGGTGGGTGTACAACAGGCTGAAGTGCTGCTCTCAAAGAGTTGTGATCAATGATCCACTGTCCGCTGGGAGGACTTATCAAAGGGATGTTTTGAGGGGGTGTCTTATCTGGTGCTATTCAGTCTTTCCATTAACAGTTTGCATGATGGAATATGGAGTCAACATAAAATGTGGGGGGAAACAAAACTGAGAGGAGCAGGGCGAATTTTGGAGGCCAGGATTAGAATTCAAAACGATCTAGATCAACTAGAAAATTGCTCTGAAACCAACAAGATTGAAATCAATGAGGATTTCAATGACAGAGTCCAGGGGAGACTGACCACAACGAGAAAATTCGACCTATGAAGGAGGGTTGAAAGAACGGAGTGTGTGTAGTTAAGAGAAGAGCAGACTGAGAGGAGGCCCAATAACCATTTTCACACATGTAAAAGGTTGTAATAAAGAGGAGGGCGATCCATTGTTTTCCATGGGCACCAAGGGCAGGGCAAGAAACGATTGGCTTAGTTGGCAGCCAAGCAGATTGGGGCTAGATGTTGTGAGGGCGCTCTGTCAGGAGCACTAAGTGCTGGATTAGGTTGCCAAGGGAGGTTGGGAATCCCTGTCCTTAGAGCAGTGTTTCTTAAACTTTTTAAGACTGAGGACCACCAAACAATAACTTTTTTTTATGAGGAACACCAAGGATTTTTTGTTGAACAAAAAAAAAAAAAGTCGCCTGCCCCTTTAAGGGCAGCCATTTTGAACTCTGTTATTCTCCGCAACACACCTCCAACTGCCTTGCGGCACACTGGTGTGCTGAGGAACACAGTTTAAGAAACACTGCCTTAGATGTTTTAAAATACGGGTTGGGCAAAAATCTCTCCGGGACAGGCTAGGTTTGCTTAGCCCTGCTTCTGTGTGGGGAGGGACTCGATGACCTCTCAAGGTCCTTTCCAGCCCTAATTTTTTATGATTCTGCTTCCCAAGTTCCATAAGGGGCCATAGGAAGCAAAGTATAAATGAGAGCAGTCCTGAGGCTGCTCTAGCTTACCTTAGAAACCATGGAGGTTCTTTGGATGTAGCTACAGCTTACCTTGGTTCTGCGCTTCCATTTGTGGCCTCGTGCTGGGATGATGTCCCCATCTTTAGTTATCCTTGGGATTACCACGTTGGTCATTTTAGCGTAACTGGGAACGACTCCCCTAGGACATGACCCCTGGGATAAACATCAAAGGGAGTTGGTGTCATTACCGCCTCGGCTACATGGACAGCCAGGGAGGGGCTAGAAAGCAGCACTTCTCCTCAGAACTACAGACCCTTCCACGCACTCTGCTTGTACCCGAAGGCTGACCAGACACCCTGGTTTTTTATTGGTGAATTTCTTAAGCACCTTGGGCTGCACACACTGTTGTGTGATTGGAGGGTTGCTCCTCAGAGCCGGTGCTCACACACCGGTTTGTCCTGGTTGGGCTGTGTCTCAGATCTGCTGTGCATGTGCTTATTTCTAGGATTGCAGGAGATGTAAATAGGACAGTCGGCAAGAGGCACACCCTGAGTTTTCATGGGGGTGTTTTCACTTAGAGAGGAGCGTGGTGCCTTTATCGCCAGGGGCTGAGATTAGTGATCAAGGTCATGTTTTCCAAACCAGTTCTGAGGCAATTTCATTGCTACATAATGACTAAGACGTCTTTATTTGCCAGCAGTGGTCTCCCAGCTCCGCCTCCTATTTAAAGACGCGACTCTCCAGAAATAGATTTGTAGCTGCATACCGCACAGTACGCAATAACGGGACCTTATCAGAGAGGAGGAAGCTTGGCAGAATGGCTGGATTTGTTTGAAACACAAGTACTGGTGACTTAGCCTGAAATGAATTATCACCATGCAGGGCGACAATTGGCGTTTTTTGTGCATGGGGTAAGAAGATAAGAACGGCCAGACTGGCTCAGACCAAATCCAACCAAACCCTACATCTCAAAGGGCATCTCATCCCAAGCTGCCCTGTTCAACCAAAATTTGGAGTCAAACCCATCCAAGTATGTAGGGCTCCCAATGAAACTCTCTAAGGGCAGAGCCCCAAACCGTGGCTGGATCAGCTGGAGTGTCTTTGTGAACAGAGCAGGCTTCGATGCGAATTTCCTTCACACGAATTGCACCATGGAGTGTGATTTTAAAGGTTGACCCTTCATGGGATTTGCCTCTGCTCTTAACGTAAGCCCAGTGGCAGGACAGTAGCCACAGATGTAAGTCTTTAGCCCAAGTGTCGGGTTTCAAGCCTTTCCCTTTAGGGGTCTTCAGTACATGCTGCTACACAAAGAGGTCTCAGTACTTTTATGCTCCTGTGTGGAAGCTATTTCGGAAGAGGAGTTATTCCTTGTGGAATGAGGTTTACAGAAGTCGGAATGAGCCGTCCGTTATTTTGATATTATTTCGAAATAACGGAATTGCTGTGTAGACGCTCACATTGTATTTCGGAATGACACTAGTTATTCCGAAATAATGGTGCAGTGTCGACGTACCCTAAGGGAGCCTGCCCCGGACTAATTTCAAGGCTTCCCCGTAGTATGGACACGCTATTTTGAAATAATTCTTTGGGGAGTTATTATTTCAAAATAAGTTATTTGGAAATAATTTCCTACGGTAGACAGGCCCTCATGCGCCTGGCTCTGGAGAGTGAGTGAGGAAGAAGGAAGGAGAAACCGGCTTGAAGGCATGTTGGTCCTCCCACCCCTTGGCTAGGGGCGAAGGAGCTATACGGTAACAACCGTGACGGCAGAAGAGGAGGCAAACGCCAAGGCACGGTACCTGCAAATAGACAATCTCTTCCAGGACTAGTCTGCGCACCAGTTGTTCCTGCTTGACCTGTCTCACCAGGAGAGCCCAGTGCTGGCTCACGGAAGTGCACCTGTTGAGGGTCCTGGAATCCAGAAACCCTGGAGAATGGCAAGGACAATCAGGTTAATCCCCCGCTATGGTCGTATGGCATCGATGGGCCCATGGGGCAGTTGTGTGTGGGAAGGAAGAGGAGCCATACTCAGGATGTACTTGGACAGGTGGGTCGGCAGGCTGCGGATGAAGTCCTTGTACTTGTAGATCCCAGTGGCTGACTGGAAAGACGCAGGGTCGGCGGCAAGGGCTGGGTCGATCAAAGATACAGTGGACATATCCTCGTCCATTGAGGCAGCTCTCTCACGACAGAGGGGCACCACCTCTCTGGCACTGAAGCATGGTATCTGCCCTAGGACTCCTAGGCCTGGGGAAGCCGAAACAAGAGCACGTTACCCACTGCCTGGAGACCCTGAGCCTTGGGATACATCCCTAATATCAGACTCGGACACCAAACCTGCGCCTCCTCATTTCTCATTCACCCACAGCTCTGAGGGAGATTTTGAGCACCCTGAGCTCTATGGCAGCTGAAGGCGCCTCATGAAACACAACCTCCCCCGCCTTGGGCTGTGAAGTCTCTCAGCGAACACCCCGCACTTTTGTGAGGGTACCTATTTCACTGATCTGACTGGCTCCTTCCGATAAGATTCCACTTTCGACGGCTATGGAGGGAGTCAGGAAGGACTGAGATGCGGGTTGTAGATGCACTTGAGAGCTGGACCCTGGGCGTTCCTCTGGCAGGACGCTGCTTTCGGCCTCAGTGATGACCACGGTGATTTTTAATTCCTCTTCCTCGGAAGGAACTGTGGAAACATAGGAGCAAGCCAGTCAAACAGAGCTAAGTCAAGGGGCCACAGAGACCGAGGCGGAAGGGGCCTGTTAAACCGGCTTCGTTCCCCTTGACTAGCGCAGGAATGTTTCCTTCTGGATTTTGTCGGGGGAGATTTCAATGAGTATTTATGTCTCCACCATTTCGCGGGGAGGTCTTTGGCACAGTAGACCCCACACTGGGAAATGATCGGAGGCTAGCTGATCACTGCAGAGGGACAGGAAGAAATCCCACCCCGACCTCCATGTCCTGCACAGCACAACCGGCCAGGTGCATTCTGGGCTGCGTTCCTCCCCCCTCTGGAGCGTCAGCATGGCCCACTCCTCCCCGCAAGGCTCCATATTTGAAGACACTGAGCCCCGCTCTCCGCCACTGCGCGCCCGTGCAACTCACACCCACGCCACGGGACCTGGGGAACAGCCCCTGCGCGGGGGGGGGGAGGGAGAGGGAAGAGCATTCACGCAGGCTTGGGGCAAAATGATTCATCCTCAAACTGCGGCGGTCCAAGCTCTCCAGGATCTCCGGTGGTCTCAATGGATGCAGGTGCGACATGTCCCTGCTAGGGATGTTAAATATCGGTGAACTGACTGGTCGATTAGCCTCGTGAATTCTTATTGGTTACTAGTCCCCGGGGGTGGGGCCAGCAGCCATTGCGCTCCCGCCCCACTCGCCACTTCACGCTGCTGCCGCTGTATCAGAAGCAGCAGCGCAGGGTGCCAGGCGGGAGCTGGTCCACAAGGGGAGCCAGTTTAAAAACCAGCTTCCCTCTTAGACAGGCTGCTTGTTGTCCCACGCTGCTGCCTCTGATGCAGTAGGCCCAGTGTGGGGTGGCAGGGGGGTGGTGGGTCTGAGCTCCTGGCGCGGGCTGGAACGGAGTCGAGCTGCCTGCCTGACCAGCTCCTAATACATTTCAAATGCAGAGCTGCAGTGGGGGTAGGTCCCGGACCCGGCGCAAGCCAGGACTGAGCCAGGCTGCTGGCCAGCCCAATAAAAACTGTCGTGGGTGGGTGGATGCGTGTAGTCTGTAGCATTAACCCACACGCTTTTGCTTATCAGTTCATGGGCTGCACTGTTCCATCCCTAGTGCCCACGGGGAAAAGCCCACCCGAGAGGGAGCATCACAGGCAAGTCCAAGGGCTGAGCTCACTAGCCAGATGAAATGCACAGAGTGTGCTTTCCTCACTCCCCTTCCCCCCACAGAAAGTGTGCTGAGGCCCCCAGGACTCGGGCCACCGGCCCGCCGAGTGCATTAGAGCCGTGCTCTGCAAGTGGCCTCCATGAAGCCGTGCAGCAACTCAGCTGGGGCAAGGGGGCCGACAATGGAACTGCGGCCGGTCTGGTCGGACATGGCACTTGGGGCAGTGTGGAGGGAGTCACAGTCTGGCGCTATCCTGCTGCCTTCGTTCGTCCCGAAAGCCAGGGATTACTCGCTCCGGCCACCCAGGCCGTCACGCGGGTTACCTGTTTCTCTGGAGCTGGCACTCTGCTCCCTGAGCAGGCGGACTCGGACCAGGTTGGCAGCCATGAACAGTAACTTCGGGCTACACATCTGCAACAAGAGCAGTGTGTAGTTTGCCTTCGTCCAGTAGGAACCGTGTCTGAACCACTTCCAGGTCTCCAGCATGGCCTGCTCTAGCATCTCTGTGTTCAAAGCCCGGTCCCACGTGGACGTGGATGCGGTCGGGTCTTCTCTGAAGCTGGGGCTGATGCGGGAGCGGCTGAAAGTGAAATCCTTCCCATGGGCGCTCTGCAGGACTTTCTCCGCATAGTTCAGCAAATCCAGGCTGTTGAATCGCTTCACGATCCCCACCAGGAACTTCCGTTGGGAGGCATTGCTGGCCCGCAGGAACCACTCCTTGGTGGAGAAGACCTTCCAAGCCAAGATACATGTCTCGCAACTTTGGCAAACGGGCACCAAGTCTGTTTTCTTCTCACAGCGCAGCTGAGGAGCAGAGTCCAGCCTGTACTCCAGGCTGGCCAGGTCCTTGGGGGCGTCTTTCATCGTCTCGGGTCCGATTCGGCATGCAGGCTCTGAGTTGGGCAATGGGAAACGCAGGGGAGCATAACCCGCTCCTTAACTGTCTGCTTCCATCCCGCGGCATTTAAAAGTCACACTGAGACACGGGCGGGACTCTGCGATGGGTGAAGCAGCCGCATCACACCCGGCTCTCTGTAGAACTCCCGTCTTTGATTGTACAGAACTCCTAGGAGACACCGTTGATACCATAAACCTCCTAGAATCTGCACAAAGAAAATATGGTAGCAGCTAGTCTACCGTATAGATTGTAATATCAGCACTGTTCCAGTATCAAGACAGGAATGGGATAATATGAAAAAGTAAACAACTATCCTCCGCTTGGATTCGTACAAAAGGTATCTAGTTTGCAGTGTCTTCTTTATGATGGCGATTTTTGTCAGTATTTCTGTTGAAGGAAATCTGGTTTTATTAGAATTGGTTCAAATACTGGTCCCCACAAAGGTCCTGCACTCCTGGAAATTGGAGCAAAGAAATTTGCATAAGAAGGGAGATTTTTCTGCAGTTTTGATTACTGAAAAAAGTGCAACTGCAGGTATTTGAGGGGCATATATCTTAAGCAGTTATATTCCTGAGGCTTTGTTTTGAGGCATTTTGGAGGGATCTGTGGGGTTTAGTCTAAAACTGGCGAAGCAAAACATTGTGCACAGGGGACTGAAAAGTAGTAAAGTTTGTCAATATGGGGGTAGGGATGGTGTCCCTGGCTCTGTTCATCAGAGGCTGGAGAGGGATGGCAGGAGACAAATCGCTCGATCGTTGTCATTGGTCCACCCTCTCTGGGGCACCTGGCGCTGGCCACTGTCGGTAGACAGGATACTGGGCTAGATGGACCTTTGGCCTGACCCAGTACGGCCACTCTTATGTTCTTATGTTCTTAAAGTTTCCTTAATACAAAAGACAATTTGAAAATTGCAAATGCATGAAATATACAATATGACTGGAGAGATAGTGAGCTTTTAGGTCATAGGGAACTGCTTGGCGCCCTTTTCTGAGCCTCCTGCTGCCAGAAAGCATAAGCAATGCTCTCAAACAGCCAGGAAACGTGAGCTTTGGCCCCAAATCAGAAAGCACCTAAACACGGGCGTCAGGCTAAATCAGTAGCCCAGCGGAAGCCAGTGGGACCGTATATTGGTAAAGGCAGTGTCTCGAGCTAGGAGTGAGAACTCAAAAACCTGTGTCCCCTGTTCAGCATTAGGGATGGTCAGTTGCGATTATTTAGCTAATTGGGTAGTCGATGGAATTTCCATCGACTACTCGATCTATCGATAATGGGGGAGGGGCGCTCGCTACCGCTGCTGTGGCTCTGCAGTTTAAATGTCGTAGGAGCTGAGCGTGCAGGCAGCCCGGCTCCGACTACAGAGCCACAGCAGGGATGGCTCCTGGGGCTGGTGCAAGTCAGGACTGACACAGAGGCAACGGTGGGGGCGGGGGAAGCGAGCAGTCGACTCGACTCCCCAGTAAACAGCATAGGCTTATGGGTAGTCGACTCCTCCCTTACATCCCTGTTCAGTACGGTCCAGGATGTTGTGTCCATGGACTGGGATTTTCCCACGGCAGAACGTAACTGTCGGGGATCGTGCAAGAGTCTCCGCACACGTCACGGGGCGTGGGGGAGTCCCCGGGCCCACATCCGCAGCCAGACGTGATTCTCAGCCGGCGGTAGAACAGAAGGGTTATTGGTTCACAGGGACACAGCGTAGCTCAGACTTGTGTCAGTACAACCCATCGTGGAAATAGGGGGGTCCAGAGCCCCAGCCCCCCAGGTCAGCGAGGCTCCCTTCTCCCTCCGCCAGCTGGAAACAAACTCACACTCACAGCCACTGCTCACAGCCCCCCAGGCAACCCCGCCTCCTGCTTTGTCCTGCTTCCAGGCCCAAGGTGTTATCTGCTGTCACCTGGTCCTCAGGGGGTGGGAGACTGAACATACTTCCACCATGAGTCAAGCCCAGCCTCCCCCCTCTTCATGCAGATAGTGCTGTAGTGCCCAGGGAAACTGAGGCACACCCGCACAGAGTTAATCCCGAACAGCTCAGGACAGGAGAATCACACAAAGCACAGCAAGCAAACAGTGAATGCAAAACCAGAGTGAACACAGTGGACACAATCCCCACGACGTCACAATGCAGCAGCAGAGAGCACCCCAGCCTCCTTGAAGCCCTGTGGGTCTTGCATGTCCCCACGGTGCTGGGCTGAAGTTCATCCATAACATTTTCAAAAGCGGCCTTGCTCCTCTCTTCTGCCTACATCCCCCATCCCCCGGCCTCCTGGTGTGAACCTTCAACTCCTGCAATCTCTAGAGTCTCCCTTTCACTCGCTCGCTCTCTGCTCTGCAATTTGTGTGGCCAAAGGTGTGTGTCCGTCCAGCCGTAGCCACCCGACGCTCTGCCTTGCTGTTCTCAGAGTCGCTCCGGGTCTCACTGGCACAGCCAGCACGGGAAAGTCTCCATCTAATGCCCAGGGCTCCACTTTCCATACCTCGCCCATGCCCATCCTTTCTGATGTGGCTCTCCTGTGTTCCTCCAAGGCTTCGTTTCTATCGTTCTCCCATCCATGGGGATGCTGCCATCTAGAGGGCCAGCAACGACAACGGGAGCTTGCTGAAACCAGAAAGGAGAGTACGCCAGACTGTAACACAATACAACGGTCGCTTTATTCCACTTACTAGCAGTGGAACTATTTGCCTGGTCTTTAAAAGACACCCGGCTAGCTTACCAGGTCACGGAGGAGTTAGCAGGGGTTGCCCAGAGAAACTCTGCTTTCTGAAACAAAGTTTAAATGAGTGAAATAAATGTCACAAATATATTTTCTCTCCTAAGCCCCAATCCTGCAAAGCACCAGCCATGTGCTTAACTGTACTTGAACAACAAGCTGTCCCTAATGTGTAGAAGTCCGTGTTCTCCAGCTTTCCAGGATGCCAAGCCCTTGTCTGAAGTTAAACATTTTCACAGCCTTTTTAGGGTTACTATGGAGAATACTTAGTGGGGAAGGGGAAGGATTTGCAGGGACAGGAGGAACAAGATTCTCTTTGCTTTATAACATAACGCTCAAGGCTTTGTTACCCCCCATGGCTCCCGGTTGCATTTTGTGGCACTCTCCCTCTCAGGGATATAACCCACCATTTGCAAAAACCGCTGTTTCCAGCTGTTCACGGTAACAGGCTCCGTAACACGGCCTGTTGCGTACAAACATGTCAAATGAAACAAGAACTCAAGACCAGCGGACTCATAGACTTTAAGGTCAGAAGGGACCATTATCATCATCTAGTCTGACCCCCTGCACAGTGCAGGCCACAAAATCTCACCCACCCCTCCTAGAATAATCCTCTCACCTAGATCTCAGATATTGAAGCCTTCAAATACTTTGAAGACCCCAAGATGCAGAGAATCCTCCAGCTGTGATCTGTGCCCCATGCTACAGAGGAAGGCAAAAAACCTCCAGGGCCTCTGCCAATCTACCCTGGAGGAAAATTCCTTCCTGACCCCAAATATGGCGATCAGCTAAACCCTGAGCATGTGGACAAGACTCATAGGGTACGTCTACACTACAGCGCTAATTCGAACTAACTTAGTTTGAATTAGTTAATTCGAACTAAGCTAATTTGAACTAACGCATCTAGAACTAAAAACTAGTTCCAATTAGCGTTTTGCTAGTTCGAACTAGCGCGTCCACACTGATTGGACGCAGGGGCGCATTTAAGGGCAGCTGAAACTGATTCTGGCAGGGCATCAGGTCAGTAGTTGCTTTGTGTGGCTGCTGTCTGAGGCTATCTGAGGCTCGTGCTTAAAGGGACCCCCCCGGACAGCCGGTTCTCAGCTTTTCCTGCTTGC